TCAAAAGAAATATTGTTGATTTTTTCGCATTCCTTATGAAACCAATGGTTACAAGTATAACATTGAGCCATTTGCCTACAAATAAGAATGAGCCTTTTAAATAAGTTTTCATTTTTTGTGTATAATCTTTTTTTATCCTAACTAGTATACTAATGCCTGTCTCTCTTATTCCCGACAGCACTCAATATTTCTGATATATATATACATATATATATATATATATATATATATATATATATATATATATATATATATATAATATATATATATATATATATATATATATATATATATATATATATATATATATATATATATATATATATATATATTAGGGCCCTGCGAATCAATTCGCAAATCAAGAGTTGCTTAGATTCGAAAAAAAAATATTCAGGTTTTTTGAATCACTATTTATTTTGTGGATGTTATTTTTTTTTCAGATATCAAACTCTTTAAATGCTATCAAAATGTTTTTATGTATCTCACCCAGAGTAAAGTAATTGTAATTGAAAGTAATTGTTATTTGAAATCAGAATAATATCAGAATAATTTGTAAGGGTTATTTGAAAGCAATATGCTTACAAATAACCCTTAAAAATTATTCTGTGCAAAAAAAAAAAAATTTTTAAGCAGATTTTTTTTGTGTGAAAAAAGATGGTTAAATTTGGATTTCCTCATATTACTGATTTGATTCATAACTCAATTTGATTCGTAAATCAAGACCTGATTGATTCGAAACTAAAAATGCAGATTCACAGGGCTTTAATACACACACAAACACACACGCACACATATATATATAGTTACAGATTTTTACTGGATTTTTAGATGTATGAGCTTTGACACTTATAGGCATTGTGCAAACTACAAACTTTTTCATATTCATGCCTATGTCAAATGAGAATGTTTTGCAAAGGATTGCGTTGATTGGAGCTTGGAAACAAAAAAATTGTAATTTTTGGGGCCTACCCAGTCCTTAACGTGAGAGCAATGAGTTTATAAAATATTTTCTCTACTATTTTAATTTCATCATGCAATAATCTCTAATTTTTCTAAAATTATAACTATATAAAGTTTTAACCGCCCATAATTTGAGGGGGCTGTAAACTTTGCAGGGTCATAAAAAGATGTTATTGCATGAAATTTGAAATTTGTTAATGGATATAAATTTAGATAAAAATAGTAAAGAAAATATTTTACTAACTCATTGTTCCCACATTGGCTGGGTAGGCCCATGAGAGGTTTTTTGTTCCCAAACTCCAATCACCACAATTCTTTGCAAAACATTCTTATTTGACATAAGCGTGAACATACAAAAGTTAAAGTTTGCAATGTCTATAAGTGCCAAAACTTAAACATCTAAAAAACCAGTGTACACCTCTGAGTTAATTAAATTAAACAAAGCCACAGCTACAACCAAAACAGCCAGGCATAGTAAGCGAACGGGGTTAATATGTGACCGGGGCAAAAATATCCTAAAATAAATTTCATAAGATAAATTTATTGTAAAATTGCATTTACATTTAAAATGTAAGTAACTTTTTAATTGTAATTTTAATTATTAGAATTACATAGTTGAGCTATTCAAGTATTTAAATGTAAAGAAATTGATAAATACTAAAAAATAGTTGATTTTTTTTTGTTAGCCCCGGCTAGTAACCCCTGCAAATTTTGTTTGTTTAGCCGGGGCCGGGTTTGCAAAAACCTCTGTTTTTAGCCGGGGCCAGGGACCCGGTCACTTACTAGCCAGGCATTATATGTACACTCCATAACAAACATAAAACATGCAATACAAAACCTTCCACATATTGTTCTATCTGATGGAATCCAAATCATCCTGCAAGAACAGTACAGTTTTAATTTAAATTCCTTTGGAGAGCATCTACGGCTTGCACTATTTGTAAGTGGAAAAGGAGTTATTAAATTATTTATTAAACAGGAAAGGGCATGATTTCTTAACTTTGTTTGGTCAAACCAAATATCTTCTATAGGATACCTGTTTTGTGATAAAATAAATTCAATAAAGGCTATTGAAAACAAACCACAATCAATACCACCATCTTGTTGCTGTACTGAAAGCACTTTTACTGTAATCTCATCTTTTTTGTACTTTAAAAGGGCACATACTTGTTTTTGTGTTTCAAGGCTTAAACACCCATGAAAGTTACTATCAAGCACATTTATTTCACCATATGAACAACCATATGTACTGATGGCAAGCCAATGGTAATCCCCATTATATATAATTTGTACAAATGGTAAAGAACCAATAACATCAAACTTTAATAATTGTCCCAATATGGGATCTTGAAGTCCATTTGCATAAGGGTTAGCTTTCTTTAACATATCTTGAAAACATTTAATAACTGTATCAGATAACATTCGATTTTTCGAAATGTCTTCAAAATCTTCTTGTGAAAGTAAAGAATAATTTCTTTCAAATAAAACTGATTTTCCTAAATAATTATTTGTAAAAGAATTTGTTTGAAAAGTTTCTTCACCAGTTATTTGATCTTCAGTAATAATTGATTCCTGCACTGGTGCTTCATAAAAATTACTTTCAATTTTTATTATAGAGGCTACCATCAACTTTTCTTTTTTTTCACCCACACGATTGGAATACAATTTTTTTTTAAGAACAGGTAAATCAACTATATTTTTTTGTTTTTTGTGTACATAATCATGCATACCATAACCTGAGCTTAATGGTAGACCTTTCTCTTTTTTTCTTGCTTGATAAAGCTTTTTAAGTACATTTGAAAGTGTTTCATGTAGATCAGATAGTTCTTCTGATGATTCATCAAAATCAAATGTTAAATTTTTTATGGTTGCTAGCATTTCGCGGACTTCAGAGGCTGTAGAACTTCTTTTTCTTGTACTATCTTTGTATGGATTTATCGTTGTTGTACTGCAAATAGTGTCATTAATTAAGTTGAAACTATTATGATTCACATGGTTACAATTGATTATATTTGATTTACTTAATACAAAATCATTAGTGAATGTGTCAATATTTAAAAATGGAGAACTTCTATATAAAGACGATATAGACTCCCATCCCCATGTTATTGGGTACTTTCTAAAAATTATAAAAAAGTGTTTGCATAGATAGGAAGATTTAAACCAATCATTACATGAACATTTTGGCATGTTCTTCTCATCGCCAAAGTTAACAAGGTAATTTTTGTTTGCAATAGAAAAGCTATTGACTACAAATACTCCAGGATCTTTCATTTGCACTTTATTTAGATCAGTGTTGTTAGCCAAATTTTGCTTCGCTAAACAATGCTTAATAAAATGGTGTGGCCTATTTATCAAGTATTCAGGTACATTAGAATTGTATTGTTTAAATCGACAATCCATTTTGTAATTAGATTCTGAATATCTTAAAAAATAAGAAAAAAATAAATTAACTAATATATATATATATATATATATATATATATATATATATATATATATATATATATATATATATATATATATATATATATATATATATATACATATAAATATATTTATATATAAACACAAAAAAAAAAAAAAAAAATTAATAAACTCCTTCAAATCAGGCTACAATAAAACTTTTTAATATACTTCTCAAATTTATCTGCAAAAAACTCTTCTATTAAAAGAGTAAGCATTCCAGTAATTGATGAACTTTTATGTCTTTGAAGATAAGAATATTTAAAAGATTCATGTTGCCTTTCAATTCCATTGTTGGTATTAAGGTTGACTAAAAATCGATCCTGACGATACCCCCATATCCATTTCTAGATAAAAATAATAACACTTGTTTTTGCAGATTTACATTGACATGAGTATAAGTTAATCTTGTTTTAACCATAAATTAATGCTTTAAAATTTGCAATACTTGTGTTATGTATAGCAAAAAATGTTAAATAATGTTAAATTTGGGATAATAATTATAATGTTAAATATATACTCACTTCTTTAATTTGTAACCAATAATTAGTAATATATTTCTTAAATTTATGAAATTTGTTGTCCAACCAAAAGTTGGAACATTTTAGCTTAACTATTGCTGCATCTGCCATCTTTTCATTTTGTGCCCATGCAATATTTCGTAGCATTGAAATTATTGAGTCTTTAAATTCTGAGCAGTTGTTTGTTTTTTTGACAATCCAGCGATGCCATGCCTGCTCTCTATGGAAATCACATATAAGAACACGGCAACCTAAAAATAATTCTCTATATTTTAAAATAAGATAAAACAAATACAGATGAGTTACACAACGAAAAAAAAAAGAGTTTCAAGTGAACTAAAAAATGACAACAGGAAACGGTTCAAAATATTCTATTAAATGGTTTACATTATTTATTTTATTTATTACATTATTTACTTTCAAATGTATATTTAAACTGTCATACTATTTATTAACAAATGAAAACTATTAAAAACTTTATTTATACCTGGAAAAACAGCTTCTAATGAATCCATTTCTTCAGTACAATAATCAGTCATGCAAAAGGAAGGTTGAAAGGATGGGTTCCAATCTTTTATTATGTGAAGCGCTTCTGTGATGGCTTGTTTTGTTTCACATTCAATAACAAAACTGGCTACTATTTGGTAGTCAAAATTAGTTTTTACAGTTAAAAAGAAGAGAGGAAGAGAATATCTGGTAGTCCTGTATGTGGCATCAAGTAGCAGTATCTCAGTTCCATAGCGCATGAGAAGGTGTTGTTGCCACTGTGACTGATAAACAAATAAAAATGAACATTTATCACCACCATCTTCGCCACTACAGTTTGGTCTAAGAAACACTTTGACAGACGGACCACATTTTTTCCATTCTTCACATTTTATCAAAAGACATTCTTGGTCAATCATGGAATGCCTTTATAAATAGAAACAACAACATTAATAAAATGAAAGTTTTAAAGATTACTTTAAACATAAATCAAGTTAACGTCTAAATTAGTAAAACAAATCATTTCAAATGTATAATTTATACTAAGAAATAATCAACATTTGTGATTTACCATAACTTTTTTTTAATTTTTACTATATGTGATCTTATGGTTGCAGTGTTGGGATAGAATCTTCTGCTATTCGAAGGAGGAAGATTTTCATTTCCAAAAGTATCTTTTACTGTCAAACGAAGGAGGTGCTTCATTTCCCTTATATTGTATATTCCTTCTATAACATATTCTTCAATCTTTTTTGAAATATGAGGATCCATTATTTGAGAAATTAGTTCTACCTAATTTAAAAAAATATTTAATATGGTAAATTAATTAATAAACTACAGTACTGTTTTAAACCTTTTTGCAAGTACAAAGTATATACAAAAATTTTATTTTTACCTTTCCAATAGGGTGTTTATCATGACATGATAAATCATCAATAGCTACAACAACTTTCCGAATATAAGGTACTTCATTTAAACATGACAATTTTAATTTTTCTTTCAATAGTTTTGATGCTTTTTTTTTGTGCCAAGCTGAATGCTTAGGTATCTAAATTAAAACAATAATACAAAAACAATAAGGACTAAACTGGGTTTATAGAGGGACTTAGTCAAGAAAGTTGAGTGAGACACCTAAAACTTAATCCTGTTTCAATAAAGGCATACTTTTAAAAAGATACATCTTTCCACTAACCTTAGGGGACCCTTAAATCCGATTCAGGGCTGCTTTATGTCACACCACCATACATTACAAAATTAAAAAAGGCATGTTACCTATAATTTAGTTACTCAAACCTTGAAATCAGGAAATTGTAATATTTCTCTCATAACTATCTTTGCAGGACACATAAACTTTTTTGTATCTTGCAGAATCACATAATTTTTCTGAAAGCTGTGATCATCCATCTAAAAGAAACAAATGATAAAAGAAGACTTTTATTTAATGGGCACCACTTTTGGAATGTTGTTTATTTGTTTAAAATAGTGATGTTTTTTTTTTGTTTTTTTTCAAACTCTATGGTATTAGAGAAACAAGAAAAAAAAATTTAATTGAGTATGAAAGATAAAAGTGATAACATTACCTTAGCATTTTTTTTATTTTTTTTATAACTATTTTTTGCTGAAATATTCCTATCAAAACCATGATGACAATCTAAAATTTTGTGACCAACAACCATATGAGGTATGCCTGAATACTGAATGGCATAATCTTCCCATAGAACATTATGATTTTTTGCAATCATTTCTATAAAAAAATATATAGTTTTTGGAATGTGACTAAACTTATTAAAAAATTATATAAAAGCAACACAAACAAATTTATTATAAATAAAGTGTATTATATATATATAAATATATATATATATATATATATATATATATATATATATATATATATATATATATATATATATATATATATATATATATATATATATATATATATATTTATTAATTATAAGTTATTATTAAAACCTTATTATTATATATAAGTATATTATTACTTATATATATTAACAACATTATAATTATATATAAGTATATTATTACAACCTTAAAAAAACAAAACATATATATATACATATATATATATATATATATACATATATATATATATATATATATATAATATATATATATATATATATATATATATATATATTTATATATATATATATATATATATATATATATATATATATATATATATATATATATATATATATATATATATATATATATATATATATATAATAAAACATTTTATTCTGTATTATAGATATATAATGCCAACTTTGGCATATATTTATTCAGCGCAATTTAGTTCATAAAAACCATTAAAAATGTTATGAACTCTAAGTATTTCTAGAAACATTAAATAAATTAAAAACAAATGACGAAATGAGAATGATATTCATTTTTAATATTTTTAGTTATGATAAAGTTAATCTTGCATTTAAAGAAACTATTTTCATATTTAAGCCAAGTAATTTTATGTTAATCAAAAAAACATGTTACGAAATCATTGCTTTTACATTGCAAATATTTGTGTAATGCAAAATGATTTTTTTTCAAAACTAGGTCACTACAAACTATAGTTTACCTGTTATTCCAAAGTCCTTGGTTACACTATAGACAACAAATCTTGTTGTAGTTGCTAACTCATATTTTTTCACACAGTTTAATGCTTCTTCATGCGAATTACAATGATAAATTAATTTTTTTTTTCCTTCTATAAAAATTAAAATCAAATTGATCAGTATACTTTCAGTGAATATGAAAATAGACTATAAAAACTATTTTGAATATTTCTTACAACAACAAAAAAAAGGCACACTAAATGATATCACAAACCTTTGTATAAAGTTTTGTGATATCATTAGAAAAAAGTTTAATAAATGTGTTCAAGAACTTTAAATAAAGAACTTTAAATAAAAAATAAGTAAAGAACTTTTTAGGCATAAAAAAAAGCCTATAATAAAGTACTAGACCTAGCACTTAATGTACTGTCAATTTAACTGTTAACTGCTACAAAAACTTAGTTTATCTTACCAAAAACTAACTAATTTTAAACTTTAGATAATAATTTTAAATCACAAACAATTGCAAAAAAAAATTCTATATGACGACAATTTTTTTGTTTTGATTGTTCTTGTGTTGTCCATTTAAATAACATATATATGCTACTGACACCATTTTTTCTTTTGTTTTCCTATATAAGAAATAAGAAAAAAACTGGCAGTTTTTGTACGGTAACAGTGACTAAAAACATACCATAAACAATATCACGTGTAGGTAAACAATTATTTTCAATGATACTCAAACTTTGTTCATAGACTTCTAAATTAAAAAATATGTCAATAACTATATAATTATTTATTGCATTTATTTTGTTTATAACATTGTTATAAACAAAAAAAAATGTAATAAGTTTTGCATTTATTAAACTGAAAATGTTTATATATTAAGTTACCTTTTATATTTCCGCTTTCTTCATCAGAGCTTATTTCATCAGAACTGCTGAAATTCAAATTTTCGCCATACATAGATAAATCCATAATCTTTGTTTTTGTTTGCTTTAATAATAATCCTTAGTATTTAATATTACGTTTCCTCGTGCAATTATTTGCTGTTTTGCATTAACTCGAACAAATAAAAAAGTTAACGGCCACCGAAAACATCGACCTACTTTGGAGTTATGTTAACGTCTGCTAACCTTTTAATGCGCGTTATGACATTTTAACAATTTAAATTACCATCTATCTTGAATTATTGCCTTTAATTAATGTGTTAATTATTGCATTATTTATTAATAATTTGTCCGTATTTTTGTTAAATATTAGTTGTATAAAACGGGCGAAAATATACAAACTTCATGTTTTTTATTTGATGGTTATAAAATATTAAACAGTAAAATTATAATCAAAATTTATAATGCCGACTTGTGTTGCAATTAATTGTACTTTTAATGCAAAATCAGGATCTCACATATCCTTTCACAAATTTTTATATCTGATACTACAGTCAACTGTATTGTTTAGTGTATTCTTGTACTTTTTTTTCATAATCTTAACAGGTTCTAATTGGTATGGAGTTGCTGACATTTTAAAAATTTCATTATCAAAAATCAAATGTAAAATAAAATGGTATTTCCTTTTTATCCGTATCCAATTCAGCAAATTTAACAATTTAAATTAAATCAGTGTGATCAAAAAAATTTTATAATAAAAAAAGTTAACAATTCATTAAATATCTCTAATTAATACTGTCAGTTTATGAAAGTAATTGTTAATAAATACTTTTTTTCAACGAAAAAACAAAAAATTGTCATAGCGTAAAAATAACCAGAGAAGTTAGAAAGTAGTTCCCATTGTTTAAATAAAAATAATTAAGAATCAGAATATATAATACTGCGCTCTCTTGCGCAAAAACAAGCGACCATATATAAAACATTCTATATAATGTAAAATACTCGTATGAAAATCATGAGATTGGTAAGTAAAGCTTTAATATTTGTTTTAATTTACATAATTAAAGAAATATAAGTAAGATATATAAATCTAAAAATTATTAAGATATCTGTAAAAAATAAGTTGCTCCTATAAAATAAAAATAATTTATTGTTTTTACTTTTTACGATGTTTGGAAAAATAATACAAATAAATTTGTTTTGCTGTATGTTAAAAAAATACAACAGTAGAAAAACGCAGCTTAGTATGATTACACTTTCCTTTTGTTAAGTCTACCGTGACGTCAAATACTAAAACTTTTATGAATTAAACACGCTTCAAAGGAATTGCCAAAGTCTGTAGATTGCGACGCATAATTTGAAGACTCCGAGTAGTTGAAAAAAATGGAGAAGACGAGCTTCTTCAAAAAAAACAACATTTGTTTTTTGCGGTATGCATTCATTATTTATTTTTAATCCAAAAAATTTGGTTCAAACCTTTTTTTTTAACATTATCTTTAATATGAACACAACATGTGTTGGGAGTTTGGGATCCCTTTAATGTGTTGTGAATAACAGAATGAGATGGGAATTTAAATATAAGCATGGAAAGAAGCTGCAAGTTGTCTTAACAATATAGTTTAACTGAGTTTATAGATTTATTAATAAACTCGAAATAAACAAAGAATAATTTTTGAATGCTTTTTATAAATTCATTTTTAGGTCAGCTTTATCTGGTGAATGCATAACAGCTTACAATTATTAATTATTAGAGGAACTATAAAAATAAATGTAAGGAAAAACCAAGTATATAAAATAATGTCAAGCTCATTGGTAAGTTACTATATGTATGTTTGTGTTCTGTTTAAACTTCTGGCGCTGTTGGCTCACCCTTAAGTTACTGTATTTTGTTTGTGTTCTGTTTAAACCTTTGGCACAATGTTGACTCACTCGTAAGTTACTCTTTGTTTGTTTGTGTTCTGTTTAAACCTCTAACGCAATGTTGACTCACCCTTAAGTTACTGTATTTTGTTTGTGTTCTGTTTAAACCTTTGGCACAATATTGACTCATTAATAAGTTACTATATGTTTGTTTATATTCTATTTAAACCTCAAGTGCAATATAGACTCACCCATAAGTTACTGCATGTATTTTTGTGTTCTGTTTAAACCTCTAGCGCAATGTTGACTCACCTGTAAGTTATTCTATGTATGTTTGTGTTTAGTTTAAACCTCAGGTGCAATATTGACTCACTTATATGGCAGATTATAAGCATACTAATAGTATGTTTATAATCTGTTTAAACCTCAAGCACAATATTCACTCACATTTAAATTACGGTATGTATGTTCGTGTTCTGTTTAAACCTCTGGCACAATATTGACTAACACGTAAATTACTATATTTATGTTTGTGTTTAGTTTAAACCTCAAGCGCAATTTCGACTCACATGTAAGTTACTGTATGTATGTATGTTTGTGTTCTGTTTAAACCTCTGGCGCGGTGTTGACTCACCCGTAAGTTGCTATATGTTTGTTTGTGTTCTGTTTAAACCTCTGGCGCGGTGTTGACTCACCCGTAAGTTGCTATATGTTTGTTTGTGTTCTGTTTAAACCTCTGGCGCGGTGTTGACTCACCCGTAAGTTGCTATATGTTTGTTTGTGTTCTGTTTAAACCTCTGGCGCGGTGTTGACTCACCCGTAAGTTGCTATATGTTTGTTTGTGTTCTGTTTAAACCTCTGGCGCGGTGTTGACTCACCCGTAAGTTGCTATATGTTTGTCTGTGTTCTGTTTAAACCACTAGCGCAACGTTAACTCATCCATAAGTTACTGTATGTATGTTTGTGTTCTGTGGAAACCTCTGACGTGATAATGGCTCAGACATTAGTTACTATATGTTTGTTTGTTTGTTGGTTTAAACCTCCTGCACAATGCTGACTTACACATAAGTTATTGTATAATTGTTTGTGTTCTGTTAAAACCTCTGGCGCAACATTCACTCACTAGTAAGTTACTGTATGTTTGTTATGTTAAATTTAAAACTCAAGCGCAGTATTGTCTCACCAGTAAGTTACTGTATGTATGTTTGTTCTGTTTAAGCATGGTGTTGACTCACCTGTAAGTTACTGTATAATGTTTTGTGTTCTGTTTACCTCTGGCGCAATATTAACTCACTCATAAGTTACTATATGAATGTTTGTGTTGTGTTTAAACCTATGCCGTGGTGTTGATTTTTTTTTTTTTTTTAAATTTTATTTCACCTCCTCAAGGCCGAGAAGGCCACTACAGACGAGGAGGCTACTTATTTTGTGGCTATAATCCTCTCTCAACTCTATAACTCCAAAACACAAACCTTGACGAACAAGGCCTCTGCGTGGAGAAACGAGTTGAGCGCGGTACTACCAGGGACGTGGTGGGGATCAAACTCGGAACCACTCGTTTATGAAGCGAGCGCTCTACCACTTCACCATTATCGCATGATTTAGCTTTTAGTTACTGTATGTTTGTTTGTGTTCTGTTTAAACCTCTGGTGGTCTGTTACTTTAGCGGCTCTCCAGTTAGTCCACTAAAATACATTCACTGAAAATACACTTTTTAGATAAAGTGCTCTATATGGAGCTATCTTTTTCTGATGGAGTAATACTTATAGAAGTAACTTGGACATTTTCATTTTCGTATATTACTCTAACCTGTTTTAAAGATGTTGCAAATTTACAATTTTGCGCCCATTATTACACACCCGTGTGGCTTAGTTGTCTATAATGTTATTCCTTTTCAACTCAATACTTTTTAGATTTTTATTGTGTCTTATGTTTGTGTTATAACTGTAAACAGTGAAAGAACAATTACAGTAATAGAATGCGACTTTGCAAAATGATGATTTTGCAATGATAAATACAATCATGCTTGCTGCTTATCAAAATGATAAGCAGCAAGCATGAATGTATTTGTCGAAAAGAGTAATAGACTTATTGTCTATGGGGCTATTAAGGCTAAACATTAGGAGCTTGATTTGGTCCAACTACATTCGTAATGCGTTTTTTAAATTTGTCTGAATGATAAAGGGTATCATTAGAAGAATCAGTCTAATAATGACAACAATTTTCCATACAATAAGAAATAGGTTGTGCATACATTTTTTAAATATAAGCGAAGAATTAGATTTATAGTTTCCATTAGTGGTGAATAGTAAAAGGTAATCAAAAAGAACATAAACGAGAAAACTCTGTAAGAGTGTGTCCATTTATCAAAATAGGCATATCAACATAGCAGCAAACATCTGAATTAAAAAGCTTGGGTTAAAATTTTCTAATCAAAATAAGCCCTAAACTGTCATAGAAGAGAAATCACATTCGATATAGACTGTTTGTAAACCTTGCATTGGAATTTTTCTAGAAGTTTGACATCTTAAGTTTATTATCATATCCAAAATTTTCTTTTTCAACTTTTAATATATTTAAAAGTTTATGCTTTTTTTTTTAGAGTTTTTTTAAAGTCCATTTTTGTTTCACTCCCTGTTTTTTTATTTTCATTTTATTAATAGAAATGAGAATGTGCAAGAATAAGCAGTTTGCTAATTGATTGTGTATTTTTCTGTCATATGCTTTCAATCGTTCTGCATTAAAAAAATCGTACATGTGAATAGGAAGGAACCTTGACGTGGTTCATGTGCTTTAAAACAAATACCTTCCAGACAGAAACTTTTTGATACCTTGTGTGTGAGTAGTATTTTTATATTGGTAGTTTATAATCTTCTGATTGAAATTCTTGCTTTCAAGGTGTGTTTTTTCTTGTTTATTTAGAATACGTTGTTTACATAGAATGCGTTGAGGATTTTGAGAGATGAAGGTATAATTTTTATCAATTCTAAATACAAGCAGATGATTTAGAGTATTATTAAATAAAACGTAATGTACGGAATTTGACTGAAGTTAGTTTGAATATAGATAACTTGTACAATTTTTTTTTATTACTTAACTTTTTAATTTTCTACTTGGTCGTTCAACTTTAAGTTTTATATCTAAAACAAATGGCTGTGTGAGATCATATCGTAATCTAATCATAAATTTATTTTAGGGAATAAGCAGTATGAAAAATAAATGCTTAAGAAGATGTATAACAACGATAATGAACTTCAAATATTTTTTTAAATGTTATTGTTAATTGCAGTTAATTTATATTAACATATTATTTATGTAACAGTGTGTAAAATATATATGAAATTGTGTATTTAATTTTAAATTTTTTTTATACTAGTTTCA